CCTTAGTCTTGCTAATATTATAAATTCGATAGTTTAGATGGATGTTTGTTAGAGTTTGCAGCCTAAACTCCTGAACGGATCTCGATGACATTTGGCATAGGCATAGAGCAGTGATTCTCAACCATTGTGCCGCGTTACTTTTGTGTGCCGCCAAATTTTGCATATTTTTGTCATAAACTATGCAGTGTGTTGTATTAAGTAAATAATTTTTATCTTTTTCTTTGTGTGCCGCCAAATTTTGAAATCGTTAAATATGTGGCGCAACAAAAAAAAGGTTGAGAATCACTGCTATAGATGACCGGAAAAACAGATAGGCTACTTTTTTGTTTTTTAACTCCACGCAGACGGAGTCACGGGCGAAAGCTACTTTAAAAGTTACATTTCTGCCATAGAAAAACTTACTAGTAACACAAATCGTTTAAAATAAACCGATATTGTACGGCACCGGATATATTAAAGTCGAGTACAACCAGACCGCACGCTTCCTACGCCGTCGGCAATACAAAAGCATTTTGTTAAATGACCTGAGCAAATTACCTTGGTTTACAAAACTAGAATTATTTGAATTGATTATTACAGGAAACTCGGAATGTATTAAAATATTTTTTTATTTAAAAACCTTGATATTGTATTATGTTATGTTATTAATTTTGTTTACCCTCACCTACGCCAATAATTAAAAGAGGAAAGATATGTATTTTTGTATGTATTGAAATAACTCAAAAACTACTGAGCCGATTTCAAAAATTCCTTTACCATTAAAAAGCTAAATTATCGCTAATTAACATAGGCTATATGTTTACTACTTTTTAATATCGCACGGAAGAAGTCGCAAGCAACAGCTAGTTATCAATAATTTTCATTCTTGATTAATACGGGACTTCCTCTCTGTAACTCGATACTTGATAAAAAACTTAACACATGCCAGAGTCGATCTTAGTACAACAAACAAACGCCGACGGAGAAGCAACATGCTTCCGTTGCACGAAACACTCGTATGCTATATTTATAGTGATATTAGTCATTTACATGTCTTTAAAAGGACTTCTTAAGGTCATTCAGACAGTTCACATTGTTCGAGACATCGTGGTAAGTTGTAACTTCAAACAGGAAATCGTACTTAATATTATAAATGCGAAAGTTCAGATGGATGGATGTTGGTTAGAGTTTATAGCTTTAACGACTGACGACTTCGGCCGCGTCTTTACTTAGCTTAGGTAGAGTCGTGTCAAGTGCTGGTTTATTTATTTAAAAAAAAAGAAAAGTATTCCATGAAATTTGGTATAGATGTAGAAGATAGTCTGGAAGAACACATAGGCTACTCACTTTTGTTTTTTTTATTACATACGGACAGAAGTTAGTTTTATATATTAGGATTTTAATAAATAAGAACTAGAAAAATAAACAATCTCATTATCTACTAAAAGCACTCAAGGTTAACAATAAAAGCGTATATTTCGATTAAAAATAACCAACGTATGATTGAATGCAATCCACTGAGATAACATCGATCAAAGCAATTCAAATCAAAACATTTTTAATGCGTTCTCAAATCGAAATGCGCTGTATAAAAGTATAGTTGATTTGAAAAGATCCAGCCGCTGGTATTGGGCATTTAAGTAGGTTCTATTCTGGGCGCAGGCACATTCCTCTCCGCTGACTGTACTCTAAAAGGAATTGTTTTATAACTGGCACTAAGCGGTAATTGGCCAGACCACTGCTATATTTCTGCTTTTACAAACTAATCTAATTTGCACTAAAGATAGTGGTTAAATAGATATTACACGAGCGGTATTTTGTCTCGGGTTTTTGCACTCCTGTTTGTAAAATTAAGGTAATCAATATAATTTTTAGATCTAGTAATTTGGCTGTTACAAAACAATGTAATGAGCTTGTTTTTTGTCATTTTCTAGGAGT